GTGGTTTTTCTGTAATCGATTCCATGGATTTCATTTTATGTTTGCTTCNTTTCATTTTAAGTTTGCTTTTGAGATACTCTACCGTTCTGTCTTTTTCAGGTAACACGTCAATAAGATCTCCAATATGGCTACAACTATGTGGTAGTGCTTTTAGCATGTAATTCAATTTTTCCTGCTCGCTTATGACTGCACCGGCTTGCTTTAGCTCGTTTACTAGCTTTTCAAAGTCAAAAAAAAACTGGTTTACATCAGAGTAATTTTTCAATTTGACACATTCAAGGTTGTTTCGGCAAACAATTTGCAAAGCTGTTGACTTTTTAAGGTACATTTCGTCAAACTTACACATAATTTTGTACGCCGAATCGAGTTCGCTTATGTACTCTAATTGCTTATTTGAAATGGCGCTGTAAATGTAATTAGTTGCTTGCACGTCCTTGACTTCCCACTCCTCAGCTTTGTCTGAATTAATTTTCTCCCTCGTCGCTACCTCTCTACATTGCTTAAATTGTAGAAACTTTAAAATGCGTAACCTCCAATTGCTGTAGTCTGCTCCGTCGAATATTGGTATCACGATATCGCTATTTTTAGCAGTCGCCATTTTTATTACTCTTCGATATAGTTTCTTTAACGTTTGACTTCTCGGTTATTCCTCAATAACCTTGCTCTGCTACCATGTTAGGACGACCAAGTAAAAATAATCCGGTTCTTTTTGGTTCTAAATCTACTATTTTATTTTATATTTAAATACCTTAAGTGTCTTGACAAAGGCACGTGTAAATCGCAAGAAGTAAAAAAGTAGAGAGAAAGAAAAAAAGGCGGAAGTTACAAACATGTCTTTTTGCGTAGTGTTGCCATCCTTCCAGAATATAAATGTATTATATGTCAACACGTACAAAAGAGTTTCTGTGTGTGAATGCAAAGGGCAACACTAAAAGAGAAATCGCCGATAATAAGAAACTCGAGTTTCCGTGTTTGAACGAAGACTTAGGGATTATAACCCTTACTACGCAGATTTCTCCTTTCTGTGTTGCCGGAGACCTGTGGCAGAACGTCTCTCAGCATAAGCAGCCTTCGGCCGCGCTTAGGGATCATAACCCTTACTACGCAGAATTCTCCTTTCTGTGTTGACGGTGAAGAGTGGCAAAACTTCTTTCTGTGTAGGCGGCCTTCGGGCCCGCTTAGATATCATAACCTTTAATACGCAGAATTCTACTTTCAGTGTTGCCGGAGAAGAGTGGCAAAACTTCTTTCTGCGTAGACGGCCTTCGGCTGCGCTTAGGGATCATAACCCTTACTACACAGAATTCTCGTTTATGTTGCCGAAGAAGAAGGGCACAACTTCTTTCTGCTTAGGCGGCCTTCGGCCGAAAATGAGTTTTCTATTAGAAAGATTTTGTTTATATACAAATTATAAAAATAATTACTAATTAAAGTCCTTCTCATTTATTGTTGTTGGCATCACTAATTAAAACCTTCTCTTAGGGCCGTTTGCACCATGTCTAGTTAACGCTAACTGGAGGTACATCCTTCAGTTAAGCACGTTAACTGCTTTATCGATCACATGTTATATGATGGGTGTCGATAACGTCGATAAAGATGTTTAACTGGGAGTTAGAGTTAACTAGACATGGTGCAAACGGCCCTTAAAGTAGTCTGCCTTATCCTGAGTTTCGCCCGGACAAAAATTTACCCGAAAATTTGTCATCCGCCCATAGTAAATACATGGAAACCAAAAGTGAAAAGAGAACAGGTTCGGGAAAAATGAAACTCATATGATATATTGGCAACACCAAGCACCTCCATGTTTTTATTACACCTAGCTTCAACTAACAGAATAAATGTGACGACGGTTTTTCGTACATTGTTCTCTCATTAGTATTTAATTAAATCAATAAGTTTCGCGATTTTTTGTTACAAATTTAGTTAAAGTAAACTATAGTGAACATCTGGATACCAATATGCGTTTATTTAATGCATTTATTAGCGTGAATTTTGTACTGACAACGTGAACTAAAATCGAACGGTTTTTTACGAATAACTTTTGAAGGGTTAAAAAAAATCAGTCTCCGCCTTCGGATTCTTAATATGCGTCGTTTGATACCCTTTCGATTATTTTGCATCATTTTTCGGTGGGGCCCATGAACTGCACCATAACCAAAAAATCTACATGCAACCACCAGCACACTTCTTCACATTAAAAATATGGCTATCAAACTAGCAAATTGACTGCAATAGATATCAAGCATGGATATCACGCTGTCAGTGATCCCCGGTGGAGACAGGGGCTCAGGTTTTAGTGATAGTTATCCATGATAGGGCTTTCGCACGTGGCGATTTTTCAGGCAACTTTTAGTTGAAAGCAAAAATCGCCTCGTCCGAACGGCCTTTCAACTAATCGCTTTCAACAAAGTTGGTCGCCAGCCAACTTTGAGCTCGTTCAACTTTTTTTCCTTGCAACCCTGTGTTTGTTTACATTCTGTATCAGTGTTGGGAAATTAAATTGTTCCTTCAGTACGAAATCTATACAAAAAATGTACTTTTGGGCTATAAATTGTATACACTTTTTAATTCGCTCATATATTTTCTTAGTACATTCCCTTCAAGACCAATAAATTTATGGTATTCATGAGAAAGTTTTATTGTTTATGTACATACGTTTACGTAGTTTACACTTTTACAAATTGATTCCACGTGCACATGTACTGCATTTAACGCAAATATGTATGCACACATTTTCAGGTATACATCTTAACAAAAAGCATATTTAAGTTATTATTAATGGATAACAGAGACATTTTCCTTTGGATTCAGTACTAAAATTTGACATTTTAATAGCATTTCAAGTGCTTATCAAAACTTTACGACAAGATATGACCATTTATCTTAATAGTATTCAATTTTAATTATTTTTTGTAAAAATACGGTTTATATTTTAAGAAAAGCTGTACAAATTCAAGGTTCAAACTTTGTGCAACATTAAAAAAACCAACACACTTTCGTAAAAATTTCGAGCTTTTAATTCGATTTCCTAGATTTATTTTGAGCGTGCGGTTTTTTAGCCCATTAAATTTTAATATAACTAAGTTTTTTAAGATTTCTTTGATGAAGGTGTTGCTAGTTTTCTCCATATAAAAAAATCGTCGGACACACTTCGTATGGAAGAAAATGGCTGACATCGTCGACAAAAAAAATGCCAAGTTCAACGGTAAGTCCCAGCTACTTTAAACTTTAACTTTATTATACTAAAATTGAATGGGCTAAAAACTAAAGAATATTAATAAAGCTCGAAATTTTTACGAAAGTATGTTGGTTTTTGGATGTTTCGCAAAGATTTAATCTTAGGTTTGTACAGTTTTTCTTAAAGAATACATTATATTTTATAAACAGATAATTAAAATTAAAGAATAATAAAATAAATAGTAAAATCTTGTCAATATGTGAGTGCCGTAAAGGTATTATATTTACGAAAATCTCTTCTTATAACTAACGAAGACTTTGTTTCTATATGAAGCTGACTTCGACATTTTGTTTTAATAAAACTTAGTATCGAAAAGTTTCTTTAAAAATTTGCCTAGGCTGTATTATACTGGTTCGTTCAAGCCATTTTTCAAAACTTACAAAGGTAAATACGAACTGGCGAACAAAAGAGAATACAAAAAATTTCTTGCTGTGAATTTTCAGAGCTATATATTTTTAGTATTCATTACAAAATTGTATTAAAAAGTACTGCGTAGTAGGAAAGTATATTGTAAATGAAATTGTATCAAACAAGTACAATTGTACCAAAAAATGCCAACACTGTTGTGTATACATATTTTTTTTCTTTTTTACTTTTTTACTCTTATTTTATCTTTCAGCTTCGCTAAAAGCACTTATACCAACGCTTGGCTTACCAAATTTACGCCAATTGATAAAATTTGGCGATTTAAACTCATTTTAAATAATGTAAACAACAATTCGAGTTGAATCGAAAATCGCCTCGTCTGAATAGGGATGGCAACTTTTTCACTTTCAACTTCTCATTCAACTCCGCATTCAACTTTTGTTGCCTGAAAAATCGCCTCGTGCGAAAGGCCTATATGATGATTCAACAACTACAGGTTGTAGCATGAACCAAAAAGACAAGATCACGCGGGCAGGAGAGTAGCCCGTTAGAATCGCATTAAGGAAAAAAGTTTAACGATTTTGACATTAGCCGTTTATTTACATTTCTTCGTTGTTTACAATTTGGTGGTGGCTTTTTACTGCAATTTTCTTCATTTGCGATTGTGACAACGTGTGTACACATAAGATAAAGAATAATTTAACACAACGGCATGATTTTTAGAAGAATTTGCATAATAAAAATGATTTTTCATGCGTTCAACAATTTCGCGGTTTTCTCCGTTGTTTACTTCTTACAACAAAGATGGCGTTGAGATTTCGGCAGCTAGAAAATAACTTTTTTCGTTCTTTCCTTCCCGCGTGATCTTGTGTCTTTCGTTCATGAGGTTGTAGCACTCGTACAAAAACAACATTTACCGTTGGTGTGAACTCCTTGTGTCATCAACATCTTCTTTATCTATTCATATTCGTATGTATATGTATACCCTGCATACCAGGATTTCATAGAATTCTGAAAGGTTTAACAATTTTTTTTTTAATTTCCTTTAATTTAATTTCTTTACTAGTTCTTGTCAACCGCTTCATACGGTTTTCTTTAAAGATTTCTAAAAGAATCGTAACAAATTTCCGACACTTAGATTTCGGGAGCATTTGTTTGCAGGGTATATATAGACGTATATGTGTATGTATACGCGGAGATGTAAATAAAGCAAAACAGACTATAATTGACACAAGCGTGCTCATAAGAAGAAGCATAGCTTCCATCGCTATCACCTGTAATTGATGCGCCTTGTAGTTATCCGTAAAGAAACATAGCTGTAATTTTAAAGCAAAACAAATTGTACTTTCAAGCGGTTGGGCTCGTGAACCCATTAGTTCAGTTTATAAGTAATATCATGGATCGTGGTAAAAGTGCCAATAATGCACGAGGGCAGAAAAAAGTCGCCGGCCCAATGGGAAATGAGTTCTTCCCATTGGGTGCCAAAGGGAACAGAGACGATTCTAAAAAAATAGCACCTTGTAAAGGAAGCTCTTGCATTCCAGATCGTAAAAGGGAAGCTAATACGTCGATTTCAAATGCAAATAAAAAGCCAAAGATTTCACGCAGTGAAGAAATTATAGGGGGGACCAACATTCATGGCTCCTGGGACCAGTTTGCAATTGATTGTGAGCCTACAGATCTAATAAATGCAATAAAAAAAATCTCCGACCCTATTGATGAAAGCTTATTGCGTATAATATGTGGCTCAATAAAGCATTTGATGGAGCCGTATACACGGTTAAAATTTGACCATGTCTTGTACTTGGCTTTATTATACTTGGCCAAGGTAAAGCCAAATATTTTCAGTGAAGATATTTTCAGCTCTGCGCTTATGTACATGCTGCGCAGGGATGTGAACCTTAAATGTAAGCAAAGTTCAAATTCACACGCGATTGCATCTAATCTTTTAACTAAGGCTTATTATGAAAAAAAAAACTGGCCTGAGCTTTTTATGCAAATATACATAGAAGATGCAATTAATGAACGTACATGGGCAGATAATGATTTCTGCATGCCGTATATAAAAAACATATGTTTTGTGTTTAACACAAACATTCCTGCAGTCAATGCGGAACACTTGGCTTTCGGCGTAACAACTGCGCAGCAACATCGGGATGTGTTATGTTTAGAAGATGATTCCGGCGATGGAAGCTCCAATACTATAGAATCTATTGGTTTAGGAATGGATACTGATTCACCGTTTTTAATTTTAAATCGTTTTGCTGATATTGAAAATATTGTTGAAAAAATGGTAATCGATGCAATTAAGGAACAATTGAATAAGAGACAACAAACGGACTGGTATACAAGGAACTTTTTAAAATTCCTTTGCTCAACCGCCGGTGTAAGTGAAGTTCGTTATCTTTGTATTACACGCCTGGAGTTATGGATTCATAACGGAAAGCTGGTAAAATATGCACAACAGCTATTATATTATATATGCTTTAACGTAAAGGACACGAATATTAAAGATCAAGAAGTTTTGGCAATACTCGTAAAAATTCGATTGAAAACGAAACCTACACTAAATTTTTTTATGATGTGTATAAAAGAAATGATCACACAGCATTCCAATGTACTCAAGTTAATACTAAAACTGGTAGTTCAAAATGAACTTTCAAACACAAGGAACCCAAATAATATGGGAATGCTTGGTAAGTTTGCACAACCTAACACTTAAGTTAAAATGATCTTTACTTTTACGTTGATATATTTGTTTATAATGCATTACAGCACATATTTTTATTTATTTATTCATTTATTGACAGCCTTTAAAGGCCTATAACAAGTCTGAAAATTTACAATATTTGCTTACTATTTTATTTGGTACAATTTTGGGTTTATAGTTTTTATATTGATATATGCATACATTACATCACAGGATCCACAATCATACATGAAAACAATATTCTTATTTCACTACATATTTTGTTCTTACACATTTTTTTGAGAGGACTATCCTAACATTTATCCTGTACAAATATATATACATTTAAACAAGGTAATTTTATTAATTATATTAAATTAAATTATAAGTGTGACCGTGGCTGTCGGAATGGACGGGATCCCGAGCAGCCCGAATGTTGGGTACTGTTTAGGTGGGCGGCCCGAAAGGACGAGTTCCAGAGCCGCACTTCCTGTACCATTGCTGTGGACTTTATTCCAAGTCGCAACTTCACTTCAGGCTTTGTGGTCATATGTAAAGGCTATAAAGTAATTTGTGATCAGTCGGAAAGTACTAGTTTCCGAGCCAATCTATCTTTAAATATTCCTGTTATACAAGTGGTCTGAAAGGATCTAGATCTTGAGCCGTACTGTAGGGCGAATGGAAAGGACTAGTTTCCATGCCGACCCTCTCTACTGGATCAAGCAGCAATCCTTTAAAATAAATTTTTTTATCATTTCATTCTATACATATATAANGGACTAGTTTCCATGCCGACCCTCTCTACTGGATCAAGCAGCAATCCTTTAAAATAAAATTTTTTATCATTTCATTCTATACATATATTTTGCAGTGGTGGTATAATCGACTTTTGAATTGTTGTAAGCTGTTGCAGCTTCTTATATTTGCCGGCAGTTCGTTGTATGTTTTTAAACCTTTATAGTACAAATCTTGCTTTAGGTTTTCCGTTTGGCAGAATGGGAGTTTAAAATTATCCCTAACTCTTGTTTTATAGGTGTGAGTGTCACTACTATACCTAAAGTTGTCACTCAAATATTTTGGAAGGGCTCCATTCTTAATATTATAAATAAATTTCATTGAGTGGAAGAAAATTAATTGTTTCACATTTAGCCAGTTTAACTCATTCAGCATTGACGAGATGCTGGTATCGTATCGGGCGTTAAGAATGTGTCTCATAGCCCTGTTTTGCATTTTTTTGTAACTTATCTATCTGTGTGTCCGATGTTATAAACAAAATAGTAGGGCAGTATATGAAGTGTGGTTCGACAATTGATCTATAAACTATGACTTTATATCTCCTACTTAGATGTTTGCATGTTCTTTTCATAAATCCAATTTTTTTCGACGTTTTATTCACAATATGGTCAATGTTATCATGGAATTTTAATTTATTGTCAATTTGAATACCAAGATATTTAATTGTAGTTACTTCTGAAATTTTTTCGTTCTTAACATGTAACTCATGTTGTTCTAGACTCGTTTTATTAGATGAAGAAATTACCATAAAATTTGTCTTTTTTACATTTAACATTAACTTATTTTTGCATAACCAGATATACAGTGAGTCCAAGTCGTTTTGCATTTTATGGATTGCTGCGCCTAAATCATCTTCGCTTATGGTCAACAATGCATCATCAGCAAACAATCTTATCTTACAATACCTGATTGATGATAAAATATCGTTGATATAAATGTTGAACAGAATAGGCGCTAGCACTGAACCCTGTGGAAGTCCAATATCCACGAGCAAATCGTCAGACAACACTTCCCCTATGACTGTGTGCTGCTTCCTGTTGGTTAAAAAGCTCTCAAACCATTTCAGCTCAACCTTCTTGATGCCTATTTGCTGTAACTTACCCAACAGTAACCCTCGATCAATGGTTTCAAACGCTCTTTTTAAGTCAATAAATACTGCAACTATAACTTTTTTCCCCCTCAAATCTTCTTTCCATTGAGATATAACCCAATTGAGAGCCGTTTCGCATGAATGTTTTGCCCGAAACCCAGACTGTTCTTTGATTAATATATTATTGGTTTCAATATACTCAACCAGCTGATTTTTTACCACTGTTTCTAAGACCTTCTCAAGATTTGGTAAGGTATTGATTGGTCGTAACTCCTCAGCCTTAACTGTGTTCTCAACCTTTTTGACCGGAACTACCGTAGATACTTTCCATTCCTCGGGCACTACACCAGCTGCTAAACTTTTGTTGATAAGTTTTGTCAAGAAGTAACCTAAGTATGGTAATGAATCTCTGATTACACCTTCACTGATAAGTTTTTTCCCACCAATTTTGTATTTAAGCTTTATAATAATTTGTTCTAAATCTTCTAATGTTATTTCTTCCAATTTAAATGTAGTATCAATATCATAATAATTATTTTCATTATTTTCTATGTTCTCAATGCTGCTATTAATATCCACTATACTGTCTACGAAAAAAGTATTTAACACCTCTGCTATTTGTCTTTTGTCTTCAACATACCGACCATTATGGTGTATTAATGTAATATCGTCCTGATTACGTTTATAACATATAGTTTGCTTTAAGTGTTTCCACATTAGCTTGCTGTCTGATTTATTATTTATAATTTTATGTTCCATATATTCAATTTTTTTCCTTTTTATCATTTTTTTGTATTCTTTTTTAATTTTATAATATTCGGACCAGTCACCAGAGTCTGTTGCTAAGTTGTAAGCCACTAATTTTCTTTTATTTAATTGGGTTAATTCATAATCATACCATTTATTTCTTATCTTAACATTTATTTCTTTCACATACGTTAATTGTTGCATACAGTTAAGCAGACACGAATTTATATACGCCAGCATGTCATCTAATTCAAGTTGGAAAATTATTGAGAAGTCACAGTTTCTAAGTAAGTTAACAAGGTTTTCTCCACTGTATTGTTCCCAGGAGACTATCTTCGACACCGATCTAAGGGAGATTTCTTTTCTTATATTAATATTAAACACTATGGTCTCATGATCAGATATTCTGTGTCGATCAAGCCTCTTAGGTACAACGTGTTTATCATTCGAGAACAGAAGGTCAATCTTTGTCTCCGATATCTCAGCTATTCGAGTATTAAAATCAACAAGTTGGTACATGGAAATAGAGCTAAACAACTCCTTTAGTTTCGCACTGTATGTCGATTCTTTGTTCATATTAATATTAAAGTCGCCAACAATTATATTATTAGTCGTTGAATCACATATTTCAGTAACTATTGTTTCTAGATATTTAATAAATTCAGAGTCACTACTACTTGGAGAGTGATAAACAACTCCTATTTGCCACTTTACCTCAAGATTTTTTAGCTGGACGATAATACACCACATGTTACCATCAAAAGATTTATTATATTTTACTCTGAATTCGAGTGAATTATTAACGTACATAGCTACACCTCCCGTGTGCCTGCTGTGTGAGTTACATCTTACTGTTGTGAACGATGGTATACTTATTTCAGCTTCAGAAATTTCATCTGTTATGCTTGTTTCGGAACACAGTAGGATTGCAGGATCACACAGTTCGACCAATCTATCTATTTCGAGTTTATTATGTATTAAACTGTTTACATTTAAATAAATTAACTTCAAGTCTTTTGTTGGTTTTCGATAAGCATTCTCTAGAGTTGGTTGCTAGTAGCCGGTACGCTCCTTTTGCAGTTTGAGCTTTCTTTGGTACACAGGGCATTCTTTACTGAATATGCTATGTTTAGTGTCTAGCTTGAATCCGAGATCGTTATTGGCGTCTACACAGTTACCACATACCGGATTGGCCACCCGGACCTCACATTCTTCAGATTTGTGTTCCCCCAAGCAACGGCCGCACCTCAGCTTTTTAGTACAGGTGTCTGCGTTGTGGTTGAACCCTAGACATTTAAAACATCTTTTAACATTTTGTCCATCATATACTCCACATTGATCCCATCCAATGTTAAGTCTTGCATGTTTCAACACTTCAGAGTATTTATCATGATCAATGCTAATTATTGCACTAAAGGTGTGCCTTGAACTGTAATTTTTCTTTTGTTTAAAAACCTTCAGGCATTTTAAATTAGCATTTTTAAGAAACTCATTTTGAGATTTTATTTTGGCAACTATTTCAACATCACTATACTCCTCACTCATATTGGTGACTTTAATTTTTGGATTAATGATCTTAGATTCCATAATTTCATACACCGCTAAGTCTAACTTCTTTTGCAGAGTATTCTTAATTTTGTCCTTCTCAGAATTGTCGTTTGCCCTAATAACAACTGACCCATTATTTTTATCTATTACCTTATTAATTTTCATATCAGTAGCATCAATCTTATTTAAGTCTTTTTTTGTTATATCAACCGCTTGCTTCGCCTTTGGTTTGACAATAATTGGTGGGACACTTTTCAGAGCTGTTGAATAAGACATCTTAGTTTTTCCTGTATTTGTATTTTGTTCCCCAACTTTTCTTACTTCCTGTATTATCTCCTCTCTTTGCTTAGATAAACTTTCAGCAGATTTTTCAAAATGCTCTTTATTAACCGTGCACAGTTTTTCTACCCTCTTAATCAGCTCATCTTTCTCCCTGTTTACTTTTTTAATATTGTCCACCACTCTCTTAATTTCTTTATCATTGTTTGCCAATAATGCAGCGATCTCCTTATTGTGATTACTTATTAGCTCCTCAATTTCACTTTTTTGTTCGCAAATATTTATTTTATTGCTATTCGCTATGTCGAGCATCTGCTTAAGAGCATCATCAACATTAGATATGTATGTAACACAATCATGACACATAAATCTCAGAAAGGGGCAATTAACTAAGCCTTGCAGGCAGTACTCATCTATGGCTGCACACGCTTTTGTTTTATGGTAAACTCTACCGCACACACCCTTACAGCGAATACCACCATCCCCCCGTATGCCCTTGTGGCACCTGTCACACTCATCCATTGGGCTTAGTCACTGCAAGACAACTGCAGGCTCCGTTAATGTCAATATATTTTGGTTTTATTGCTGTCATCCACCACTTCACTGCGCTTTGGTTTGCCGTTTTGTTAATTTCGCGACAAGTAAACACGTATGCATGTATGCATGTATGTATTTATGAGATTTAATTTATTTCTTTTAAGAATGTTTATTAAAAATCACCTTTATTTTTTAACATTTATTTACATATGTAACCTTTCGCTCAATTGTGTGTCATAATAGAGTTTTTTATGTTGATCACAATGTGAAAAATCCCTTTACTGCACCAGAGCACTCTCTAACACGACCGCCTAGCACGACGATCAAAAGCTGGCTATCGCGTTGAAAATTCAGGTAAGGCAAATTTAAGAAAACAGAGCGATGAGGGGGTGGGGGTTAGAATAGGATCCCTGATTTCAAAAATACCACCCCTCTTTCCATTGATACCTAACCTTCATATTTCTTATTTTTATACCCGAGCGCACTTGTGCACAAGATGTCCGTAAACCTAGCTGACGTAAGTCGCCAAAAATCAATAAAAATTATCTAGGAATTAGGTGTCTTTTAGGTGTTAATTAGGGCCTCCAAAATTAATTTAGGTGTTCCTTTAGTTTCCGAGAAATTCGCAAAAATGTGTGGTCAATTTTTGCGATTTTCTCGGAAACCAATGGAGCTACTAATTTAGTTTTAGTGGCATTGAAGAACACCTAAAAGACACCTAATTCCAGCATACATTCGGAAAATTTAAAACATAAATTTTTGCAAATTTCTCGGAAACCTATGGAGCTACTACACTAGTTCTAGTGGCGTTGAAGAACACCTAAAATACAACTAATTCCTGCATATATGTATTTCGAAAATGTAAAACAAAAATTTAAACATTGTTCAGCTATGTTAACAGCGCTAAGCTAGCCGAAAAACACATTTTTGCGAATTTCTCGGAAACCAATGGAGCTTCAAAATTAGTTTTAGTGGCGTTGAAGAACATTTAAAAGGCATCTAATTCCTGCATATGTATGTATATGTATTTCGAAAATTGAAAACAAAATTTAAACCAATAAACATTGGGCTTGGTTAGCAATTCGAAAATGATTGGAAAACCAATATTTTTTTCGAGTCTTACCTTCGATAACGAATGTGCAATAGGTTAGTATTTGATTCGAGAACTAAGGCATTCTCCAGCAAAACGGCACCTTCGTTATCCAATGTATTTTCCCTTCGTTATGAATTCGAAATCCAGCCCATTATCGAATTGAAATTTTATTGTGTGTCTTATATTTTCCTTCGAGAATGAGCTGGATTTCACTTTCTCTCTTGTAACTATGGTTTTAATTTTTTTTTCTAACCCATTTCGAGTGTATTTCAAGTTTACTCTGAACGTTGGAAAACCAAGGTTGTTTATGAGTTCGTTCTCAGTTCGATATGCCCATTGGATATCGAAGGTACTTTTCGAACGTTCGCCAAAATGTTTATAGGGAAGCTTGTTGAGCTAGGTTAACAGCGCTAAGCTACAGAAAAATACATTTTTGCGAATTTGTCGGAAATCAATGGTGCTACTAAACTAATGGTGCACCTAAAAGACACCTATGGGTCGATTATCGATAGCAATCGAACTTCAGTTGCGTTGCTAGTTGCCAAAACGATATTACGGATGGCAGATGGCAACTTTCAACTGACAACTGCAGTTGCTATAAAGTGTATATACAGGCGACTACATTTTTGTGGTTGCTGAGAATGTTTTTGCGAGCGAATTTAGGAGCGAAAATTGAAGTGTGTCATATATTTTACTCTTTAATAATTTGAACGATATTAACATTTTGCAATGCAGTTTGCTTTTACAGAATATTTTGAAAATAACAAAACAATAACTTGAAATTTTAGTTCCCGTAGAGTACGCCCTTTTGGCGAAAAAAGCGTAAACTAATTCAGTAATTTGCCCTGGCATTCAGTAAGCGGTCTCTAGTTACTAATAGTGACTTTTGGTAGGGAACTTGGATTTTGAAATAAGACACCAATTTGTCAGCTGGCTAAGAGCCGGTCAAAAAATAGAAGTATATAGAAAAGCTTATTTCTTTCTATTTTATAAAAAAAAAACCCAAAATGCAGCGAGGAAATTTGTTCAACAAGAATTTCATTAGGAAATGTTGTTGTGGTTGTTGTTGTTGTAGCGGCTACAACAACCCCGCCCAGATCGGCTGATATCTCAGTCGTTGTCGAGTTCCACTAACGGCAGCCCCAAGAAGCGTGCGGCCTCTATGGGTTCAGTCCATAGGGACGACGCCGTTAGGGTTGTGGGGTTTTCCGGGCATGCGAAGAGATGTTTCGAGTCGTGGGGGGTCTCTCCGCATGCCGGACATTCGTTCGGCACATCCGCAATTAACGTACACAGGTAGGAATTTAGCCTGCTGCAGTAGCCAGAGCGAAGTTGGGCTATTGTCGTTCTGGTCTCCCGAGGCAGATGGAGCTCCGTCATGTCAATGTCCGGTGTTTGTGTGCCTAGAACGGCATTCACAGGTCTTGAGTCTACATAACTCGAGACTGCGTCCCTGTGAATGCCGTTCAGGGCCTGTCTATGAGCTGACGGGTCCAGATGCTGCTTAATGAGCCTCTGGACTTCGTCCGTCAGTTCATATAGATGCCTCCTGACGTGCCTCGGCGAGGGCTCCTCTGCAAGCAGCTGTCTATTTGGGTGGCCACATCTGTGGCTGGAGTTCTGGTGACATCAGGAGGCATCTTGTCGCTGTCCTAAGTCCTGTATTTTGTACCGTCTGTAGCTTCGTCCACTGCGTCCTACTAGTCCCCGGCGACCACACTGGTGCTGCGTAATTTAAAACCGGCCGTCCTATTGCCTTGTATGTTGCCAGCAACGTTTCTTTGTCTTTGCCCCAACTACTGCCGGCTAGCGACTTGAGGACCTTGTTGCGGCCCTGTAATTTATTGACAATAGCGGTTGTGTGCGCAGAGAAGGAGAGCAGGCTGTCGAATGTTACTCCGAGTATTTTAGGATTATTCACCGTCGGAATTGGTGTGTCATCGACGTGAATTCCTAGCGGTAGCCTGACCTCCTGCGTCCAGGTTGTGAACAGGGTCGCAGAGGATTTCGTAGGGGAGAGGGCTAGACACTTTGCAGTGAAGAAGGGAGAAAAGTCAGAGAGATATCCGTTTACTTTCGAACACAGGTCATCAATTCCATTCCCAGTCGCCATGATCGAGCAATCGTCGGCGTAAGAGACAATCGAGACTCCCTCTGGTGGTTGAGGGAGCTTTGAAATGTAAAAGTTAAACAGTAGTGGGGAACCCCCTGTTTTATTTTTCTAAGTTTGCTCGATTTGTCTCTAAACATTACCAACGAGTGTCGACCACTCAGATAATTTGCCGACCACCGTTTGAGCCTCTGTGGGAGAGAGGAAGCCTCTATATCTTCTAGTAGCGTGGAATGGCTGACAGTGTCAAAATCCTTTTACAGGTTTAACGCTACTAGAATCTCTCACAGGGACGTTTACAGTTAAGGCCACTAGTTATCTGAGTGTTTATGGCGTTAAGTGCTGTTGTTGTACTGTGCACTTTACGGAAACCATGCTCATGCTTCGCTGGGATCAAGTGGTTTGTGAAGTACGGGAGTAGCAAGGCCTCGAGTGTCTTCGCTACCGGGGAAAGGAGTGTTATTTTATTTATTTTTATTTATTTTTTTATTTATTACAGTCGTTTGACCTATATACATTCACGTATATACATTTGAATTATGTATTGCAACCCAGCAAACATTTGGAGTCATAAATGAGTCTTTAAGGAGTCCTATTTCGGAGCAAATACGCTCATAATGAGCTCATTTAAGAGTCCGATATGAGTGTGTTTCCCTTCCTACGAATGTCGACTTATATGAGCTTAAATTCATACATCAAATGAGCCTCAATATGAGTCATATTGGACTCTTATTGGCCTCATATACGGCTCATTTTGGACTCTTTTAAAACAAGTTTTGGCCTCATATATGACTCTTTTTGAGACCCTTATCGGCCTCATAAATTGCTACATTCGGACTCTTATTTTAGGTTGCTCTTTGAGTCTTATTCAACTCACTATATTTGCAAAGGCATTCCGCAAAAAGTCCTTGCAAATAACATACATACATACTTACATGCATATACACATTCCAACATGCATTCAATAGCAGCAGCTGAAGCTAAATTTTGTTCATTTTTTGTTTTCTAATTATTTTCAATTTCTGTATAAACAAGTTTAGATATAAATTTCAAATCTTTATTGTTTTTATATTGGCACAAGGTGCTGGCTCATAACTTGGCTCATATATGAATCCTAAAAGATTCATATAAGAGTAAAAAATTTTTTGTTTTTGAAACTCATATTTCTTACCTACCTAGGACACCTTTCGGACTCATATATTCTGAACGCTCAGAATATGTTTGCGGGGAATATACAATAAAAGTAAAGTTAAATTTAATGCTTAAAATACGTTAACTTGTTACATTTTTCTTTCTAAGCTATATAATAGTATGTATATTTAACTAAGATAGCATATTCTCGATGCTGTTGGAATGGACGGGATTCCAAGCAGTACCGTAAATATATCACGTACGATATGCGGTCTAAGAGTGTAATTTCCAGAGCCGCCACAACTGAGCGGTTGAATGGACGAAATCCAGAGTCGCGCCATTCGATCGGACGGAAAGGACTACTTTCCATGCCGGACCTTTCTATCTGATATCCAATGTTCTACAGTGATCAAGTAGCAGCCTTTTGAAGGTACCAACGATGTCGCAATTTTGTATTTGAGCTGGAAGTTCATTATAACATTTTAATCCCTTATAAAAGATATTCTTCTTATCTATTTCCGTTTTATACAGCGGCAGCCTGAAACCATTATTTCCCCTGAGTACGAATGGGTTTCACTATTATATCGTAGGATATCACTCAGTTAATCTGGGAGTCTACCTTGTTTTATGTTAAACACGAATTTCATAGCGTGATAGAAAATTTGCTGTTTCACGCTCAGCCTGTTTGATTCTGCGATCATTTCCTATATGGGTGTGTCGTACCGCTTGTTCAAGATAAATCGCATAGCCCTATTTTGCATTTTTTGAAGCTTATCTATTTCTGTGTCGCTTGCTATAAAAAAGATAGTTGGACAGTATATGACATGTGGTTCAACTATAGATCTGTAGACCAAAGTCTTATACCTCCTTCCTAAGTACTTACATGATCTTTTCATGATACCAATTTTTTTACC